AAATAGAACAATAAGCATGGAAACATGGAAAAGACTGACAGTGACCATAAGGTACGTGGAAGAGGGGTGATGGTAGAAAAAAGGGGAAGAGACTAGTCAAAGAAAATGTAAGAATGACCTATGGACATAGACAACAGTTTGGGAATTGACTGTAGGAGCAAGGGGTTGGATGGGTGGAGGTGGGTAAAGAAGGAAAAAACTGAGACAACTATAATAGATAACAATAAAAATAATAAAAAATTTTAAATAAAAATAAAATATGTTCAATTTTTTTAAAAAAAAAGAATATGACACGGAGTGTAGTACCCTGGAGATAAATGCTGAAGAAAACTTTTGAAGAGAGGCAAACAGAAAATAGCAATAATTTGACATTGTCACTAAAGAATGACATCTTATTCCAGCAATGTTTCCTTGTCATATATGGAGGAGACAGAAAGGTGGAAACAAATATCTAAGTTTGTGTGTGTGTGTGTGTGTAAAGTGGATGTTTGTACAAATATAGAAATGTTTTAACTAGAATAAATCATTTTAATATTCTGCTTATGACATTCCTTAATAATGCAAGTTTATAGTTAAGTTGCATTATTATTTTAAAATTTTTTCAGTAAATAACCCCTCCCCAAATAACAATAAAAAACATAACAATCATATCTAATATAATTCCTTTTATTTCACTAAGTGAAAAGTGGCCAATGGAGGTCTTCTTGGATTCCGAACATTATTTGACTAATGGTGTGATGGCAGAAATATCAAACATTTGCTTTAAAAAAGTTCCATCTTTTTGAACTTCAGCTAAAATTGATAACACATGTTCATGCCAAGCTCTCAGCAGAGACTGTGCCCCTAGCTTTCTGCTACTTTGAGATCAGAGATTCTCTCACCTTCTCTTGTTTAAGAGCATCAGGCTCAAAATGTACCATTAAAATTGTTTATGGCTCAATTTAAGTAAATGAAAATATTATAATTGAATACAGGGCTTTCTCTAAATGAGTTGCAAATGATACATTATAATAGACTTAGTACTTCAAAGCACTTATTTATTAGCAATAATGAAAATGATTATCTTTGAGCAAAAAAAGGAATTGTTTTCAAGCATTTACTTCTGTACTTTAGATTAACTGGTAAAAACCTCAAACTCACCAGAAGTGGTAATTTAGATTTTCAAGGCTTTATTCTACTTAATAATGTATTTCTATGCAATCTTATTTGATCTTTAAAGTATCTGGAAATAGTAAAATAGAACTTCCATATCCATATTATAAGAAAGTCAGTCTCTGTGAGTGGTCTGACTGGCCAGAGGTCTTACAATCAGTAAGGTTGAATCAGGACTTGAACTTTGACCTAATCCAAATACCAACTGTTTTTCTTCTTGAAATACAATTTTTCTCATTAAATTATAAGCTCTGTATCACATTCGTTTTGTGTGTATGTATGTGTATGAGTGTATTTGGACTTTGAAGGTAGTTTTAGTCATTATATAATCTATAGAAACAAAGAAAAAAATAGAAGTGGATTGAATAATTTCTTCTAGTGACAAAATTGTCTTATTTTTATGTTAAATGCAACATATCGACTTTATTCTAAGGCATTTCTATTTTTTCTCAGATGTCACAGGGTGCCAGACTTAGAGCTTTTAAATAGCCACTAAAGGAGCTCAAAATCTAATGCTAGACTTGTAATGTGGGCACTATGAGATGACTATGAGGAGCTGTGGCAGCTTCTCACATGCCTATTTGACCAGGGAGATATATCAAACTTAGAACTTTCACCCTAAGAATAAGGCAAGTGTAATCCATATTAGAATGTTACAAAATCAGAGCTTGAAAAGGCATTAAATGCATATTACCAACAATATTTAAAGCTCATAATTTTCCTAATACATGTTCCCTCCATTCTGGTTTGGGGGTTGTTCCAAAAATTTCTTTGCTAAGTGACTGTAATTTATATTTGATTATTTTATTATTATATCTAAAAAACCTGCAGAAATTATTATGGTTTAATGTTGCCTATCATTTAGTAAATGAATTATAGGAAGCAACTAGTAAAACGTAATGCCCTTTTTTCAAGAATTCTTAACACTGGAAACAAAAAAAAATCAACTTACACTTGGTAATATATGAAAGTCTATCAATAAATTTAAACCTAGTATTTACTTTCATAGTTACTTGCATCTTATGTTTTCTTAGTTGTAGGTATTGGAGAAATTAGGTGATAATTTTGTCCCTGTTAAAATGTAATCATTTCCAAAACAGTTTTGAATTTCCTTAAAAAGCTAAAAATGGAACTGCTTTTTGACAGAGCATTCCACTCCTGGGATTATAGCCTAAGAATTCCAAAACACCAATTCAAAAGAACCTATGCACCCCAGTGTTAATAGCAGCACAATTTATAATAGCTAAGTGATAAAAGCAACTTAAGTGCCCCTCAATAAATGAGTGGATCAAAAAACTATGGTCCATTTACACAATGGAATACTATGCAGCAGAAAGAAAGAAAGAGCTCCTACCCTTCATGACAGCATGGATGGAACTGGAGAGCATTATGCTAAGAGAAGTAAGCCAGGAGGTGAAAAACAAATACCATATGATCTCACCTATAAATGGAACCTAATCAAAAAAAACAAACAAACAAGAAAAATATAACCAGCAACATTGAAAGAAAAAACAAATGAACAGTAACGAGAGGGAAGGAGAGAGGGGGGTAATAGAGAAAAGAAGGGGAATGGTCAAGGAACAAATGGACCCAGGGACAAAGCCAAAGTGGGGAAGGATTGAGGGTGAGAGGTGGGGGTGGGTGGGGCAAGGGAAGGTGCAGGCAGGAAAATGGAGACAAATTAATTTGAACAATAAAAAAAATTAAAAGAAAAGAAATTCTCTTACCAAAAAAATTGTAATCATTTCCTCCATTGCTCCCTGAATGCTACAAGCAGTTAAGCAGTTCTACTTTAAAACATGCACTCAGTTAAATGAATCAACACTGAAGAAAGACCTATTGGTACCAGACAATGCTCTTTTATTTATTATTCATTCATTCAATCAATCTTTTATTCCTGAAAATTGGTAAATTAATGACCTATTATGATCTAGGTTCTGTTTTAATCACTGATTATCAAAAAACATGGATCGTGGTTTCTATGAGAGTTTACATTTTGTTTTAGGTGTTCAAGTTTATTAATTACCCACAGAAAGTTTTTGAAGCTTAAGGGATGCACTGTTATGATCAAAAATTTTAGGGAGGATAATTCAAGATATAAAAGACTATGTCAAATTCAAGTATAAAAAGTAGAAACACATTCTTGTCTAGAATTGATGATAGAGGTAAAACCAACAGATCAAGTTCTTAATGTGTTTAACATTTTCCAATTAGACAAGCTACTTGTTCTTTAGTTATCATTTGTTCAAATATAAAATGATATTATATCTAATTCACAGGATAGTAGTAAGTATAAAATAATCTTCATAGTACAGTGTTGGACACTTAATAGTCAACTCATAAAGAAAAAGTTGTAAAAATTGAGAGTTAAAAGAATGGTTGCCAAAGTTTAAGCGCATTTCCTCTCCCAGTGGGATTAAAGATAGAAGGACAGTAACTTCATAAGGATGATATGGAGGAGAATAATGGCTAATTGACTGTTAAAGCACCACTGAGACATTGTTCTATCTCATGGATATCAAGTACTTTGGTCTTACCATGAAGGAACAAAGGATTCATACATTTTCCTAGTCCTTCCTATTACTACTACAAAGTTTTGATTATTAATTAAAATTTTTTTGTTATTTTTTTTGTCAGAAAATATTTCAGTGTTACTAGCAGTATGCCCTAATTTTCAGTAGTACAGAGAAAACTTTTATTCTTATATGACTTAATACAGTTTATACTTTATGATTAAGTTCTTATGTTGCTAAATTCTTAATCCCATTAATTATATAAAAAACTCTAAAGGATATCAAAGTATACTTCAATTATACCATGCTTTTCTGAGGAAGAAGTTGTATTTTTAGTCACACTAAAATGTGAATAGGTATTAGTGCTATTAGGAAAGTGCTCCATGTAATGTTAAAGAAAAATATCATTGTGAAAAATGTAATGTGTAATGTCTATTGGTAACCACAGAATATGTAAATGCAGTGCCAGTGAATTATCCTTTAAGGGATGCCAAATTCCCTGCTATGTTGTTTTTCATTCTAAAGAGTTTGCTGCCAATTTAGCTTATTCTTCATTCTGTGCTCTAATATTTTAAGGGGCAAAAAAATCCCAGAGCATTCTCAAGAGCTTTTCATTGGGACTGGAGCCAAAAATCACATAGTTGCCTCATGGGATTCCTTTTGAATCTGGCTGGAGAAACCATCAAGGAAATAGTTCAGATCTCTATCACAGGCTGAGCCCGAGCTTCCCCAGACATAGATTGATTCAAGAATCCATCTGGGACTGCAGATCAGAATTGTTTGAAATCCAGAGAAAACCAAGAAAATGCCTTGGGTCTAATGTGGTCCCCATCTTTACAGCTCAGAAGTACTCCACAAATTCTGATAATTTTCCTAAAGCCAGGGTGGGGGAGTTGTAATAAAGATTTGGAAGCTTAAATGAAACTGATGAACAATAAAAGAAAAGGCAGCTAGCTGGAAGTTCCTGAAAATTTCTGATTGTCAGGAACTGATTCAATTTCAAAATTGAATCACTGTTTTTTCTTGCAACTCTTCATAACAGAAAGTTCTCAAAAATGCACTTTGTACCTATCTTTTGATCAGTATGTATTAATATGGACCAATGTTTAACTTCTAAAATTTTAAAGCTTTTTAAATATCATTGTCAATATAATACTAGTTAAATATCTTCACTCTTTTGTCAGAGAAAGACATGTTATTCTTAAACTGGTCTTTTTTTTTAGAACCGATAGATACTTATGAAAAAATAGTAGATCAAATTTCTTTAGTGATTGAGTTCAGGTTTAAATGGCCTGTGTTCAACATACACAAAAATCATCTTACAATTTTACTTACTTTTAGTAACAACTCCTTCCAGTCTAATAATATTGGGATGGTCAAATTGTCCCATAATGCTTGCTTCTCCCAGGAAGTCTCTTCTTTGCTTTTCAGTGTAGCCTACTTTCAAGGTCTTGATGGCCACTGAAATCTCTTTTTTGGAGGGGAGTTTTAAGCGACCACTGCACACCTCTCCAAATTCACCTGTTTGAATGCAAAAGAACAGAAAAACACAAATATATATAATAAAAATTAGTAAAGAGCAATTGTTCCCTCTTAATAAGTCCACTCAAAATACTTACACCTTTGGTCTTCAAGGTGTACACTCCAAAATATTTTGGAAGTTGGTAATCTCACACTCCCTAAGAAGCCCCAAGACATCCATACTCTAGTAGTATACTGACCTTGTGATGAGCCTCATATGTTTTGAAGTAGCACACTGAATAATGCAATATGAAAGAACAAGAAGACAGTTGAAAGCTTTGTCTATCAGACTTTTCACTTTTTGTCCTCATAGCTATGATTTCTTCAGAAAATCAACAGACCAGCACGAATGTTATGCATTGAGCATTGGATTAAATTTCAGATGTTTTTACTAAGAGGGCCAATTTTACTATATACTTGGACTCCCTGAAAATGAAAATGAAACCATCTGCTATCAATTCATTTTATTGAAGTAGCACCATACAACATTATTGACAAACTAGTTATAAAGTTCTCTGGGCTTCTGGAAGGAGAACAATAATATAACAGTATCAAATAAACAATGCCACATTTTAATCTATGAAATCACTGTAGGGATATTTTCTTAGACTCAATGTCTTCAAAAAACTTGTCTTAAATGAACAATTAATCGAGAATTTGTTGAATATAAAGTGTTGTTGACTTTTAAATAGTGTAATGCAATTGGTAAAAATTACCTAGAAGTAGTTTGAGCACTATCTTCATATACATTGTCATTGAAAAGATTTGTTTTTTCAGTAGATTTTTACCTTCCTGAGAGCAGGGACCCTTTATATTCGTTTCTGTCCCCAGTGCTTCCATAGTAATAACCACAAAGTAGTGCCATGCTCTGTATTCATAGAGAAGTCTTAATACAGTGTGGATTATTAGTCAGTTTTATACAAGATTTAAAATACTTTTTGAAATATAAAATAAGAGCTTTTCTGAAAAAGATTAAAATACATGCTCAATTTTTAGAATGTCTATGGTGTGTAGTAACATTCGTGGTCTCATCTTCTCACTGTGAGTTTCTCTACAAGCTTCAGGCCCCATTGGTCAGCCAGAGAGGAGGAGTCAAGAAGTAAAATGTTTCTTCTTTATTTTTTTTGTCCCAGTAAGTGGCCTGTCTCACAAAAGCAGAGAGTTGTCCTATTTATTTACTAGCTGCATCACGAAAAATGACTTGCTTCTCTCCAATAAACTCCCCCAGATATAACTCTTTCTTAGGAATCCGGCCTTGGCCCCATTTTGAAATCAATGACTTATGCTGTGATTTGTCCAATTGACTTAAGCTCCACAAACAGTTATTCATACATTATTTAAGAAATACTCATCAATTGGCACCAGTGTGACAGACAATGTGAAAAGCATAGATGTTATGGTAAACAAGGCAGATCTAAGTTTTCCCTTTTGAGAAAATGTAGAGAAGATAGCAAAATATGTAGCCAGAGTGTTCCATAGTATGATAGGGAGATAGGGAGAATTAGGGGCAGAGCTTGAGACCATTCATTGGCCTTTTTAAATCCAAAGGAGAATACATCATTATAGGCATGTGAGTATTAGGAAGAGAAATTATGATGTAAAGTAAATCATTGTTAGAATTTGTAAGGAACAGTAAGAATTTCTTTCCTTATACAGGGCTATCAGAGCCTGGCCAGAGCTCTAGTTTACTTTGTGTGTGTTTAATTTTAGGCAAACTATAAGGAGGCATCCATAATGAATTTTCATTTTCTGAAAGTTCTGCCATTATCATGAGTCAATATGCTGTAATTAATCATGTTTTAAATTTGGATGCCATCACCCTTTATTCTAACTGACAAGTCACTTGTCAGTTTACAGCACAGACAGTACAAGGGTGTGGGGTTGAGCGTGGATTCCGGAACCAAAATGCCTAGAGACTGATTCTGCCTGTCACTTATTAGCTGTGTGATTTTGAGTGAGGGTCTTAATCTCTTTATGCATTTGTTTCCTTATCTATTATATAAGAACACAAACCATGTTTTTAATAAAGCTTTTGTGTAGTTAAAGGAATTAATGTATGTAGAGCACTTAGAAAAGCTCTAGATACATAGTAAATGCTAAATGTTAGTCACTATTTTCCTCTCTGAGTTCAAACTCACTCTAAGAATAAGTTACCGATTTACCTCTTAAGAGTTAGATCAAATGGAAGAATAAATATAAAAGTGCTTTCAAAATGTCAAATACTGTTTTAATGTAAGAAGAGATGGTTGTGATGATGAAGGCGATTGCAAGGTTAATCTAATTTTGGACTTCTTTTTGTAAAGGAGAACGTTTTGTAAAAGACCCTCACTAGGGAGATCAAGGACAAGAGTTTGAATTCGAGTGGACCAATTACAGTTCCTTTCTTTGTCTTCATTGGGATAGCTCAACATATGTACATCTATTTTTTACCTTCAAATTTCAGAAAATGGTATTTCAATAATGCTAATTTTTAAAAATTATATAATTTATAAATATGATTATTATTTCATGATATTGGAAATAGCCACCAATATATTATGTAAGGTAGAGAAATGCTAAATGTTACTTTAATTCTCTTTATAATAATTTAAAGGAATTGTTAAAAATTAACAAAGACTGGGCAAATGTAATAGTTAATCTTCTTATTTAGCCAAGTTTCACATGGTCTTATTTGGCTAACTTTACACATATAAAAAGAAAATTTAGATTCTGTCATTTCTGAGTGAATGGACATCTAAAGGGAGATGATTTGGAAAAACACTGCTTGATTTTTAATTCAATAAGTGCAGCAGATTGTCTTTTGAAATAAAGTGTGGTTTATGAGAATTAGAATAAATTAAAATAATACATTCTGATTTAAGATACACAATACAAAATTGCTCAGAATAAAATTTCTTACACTGATTTCATTTAAAATAGAAAAAAAGTACTTTAAGTAAAATGATCCTCTGCACCATTCTCAAAGTCCATTCTCTTTCTACTGTTTTAATAAACATTCTTTTATTATGTTTTAATAAAAAAATCATAATAAAAATACATAAAGAACAAGGTGGTATGCCAGCAAAGCACTATACATGAATTATCAAATTAACTGTCGCAAAAACTTAGAAAAAGTCCCTATTGCTATCATCAATGTATAGCATGGCCTTTGGCGCTGGAAAGTACAAGATTCTAATTTTGCCTTCTTAATCAATAACTGTGTGACCATGAGCCATTCAAATTTTCAGATTTTGTTTCTCACCTGGTGAAATGAAGATAATACTTATCTAAAGGTAATAAAACTAAATATATGTCTATGATTAGCATAGACTGGGAGTTAAATTAATATTTTCTACCTTCAGAACATTTCTGAATCTATGAAATCTATGAAATGATGGTTAGATTAGGGAGCAAAATTAAATATATCTGTTATACCTATTTCTTTGTATAAAATCCTTGACTGAAAATTCGAGATTTAGCCCACATATATAAAAGTATTTCTGTATATTTAACTGACTGTAAAAATTCTATTATTGACCAAGATATTCAGCCTTTTGACAATAGATGATAGTTGCTAATCAAACTCTTGCACAATTTCTTCTGTTTCTGTAAATATTTAAAACTTTACAACAAAATGTTTCAAAATCTTGATTTTATAATTTATCTTGGTAATGACAAACCCTTTAAAGGTTAATCAAGACAGACTAGAATTGAATGTGCATAATACACTGAAATCTTCTAAGATAAGTGTAACCCAGCCTTGAAGATATACCTATTTGCAAACAAAATAGGCACTGTTTTATTGCCTTTAACATGGCAAATGAGATTATTGGCTACAGAACCCTAAAAATAGGAAATGTTTCTAATTTTTTACAAATACATTTGAAGAGGAAAAGAAAAAAAGAGGATCTGTCCTAATTAAGTGATTTTGTATAAGTAGGCCTTCCCTTTATCTCTTTTATCAGATACTATTTTTAATAAGTATGCTTTGTTTCACATCACTGTGTAATAGATTTTTGGCTTTGTGAATCATCGGCACATCTAAGCTTTTACTTACGAAGAAAGTCTCAAAATTTCAACATCCCCATGTATCTGCCTGGTCTTTTGAACACTGGCTGAGCATAAGTGGGTGTTTCCCCCGATCCAGCTGAGTACTCAGACTCCTTGTGTGGTGTATGCTTCTGCAGCTTCCATGATGGAGAACAGTGTTGAGGGCAACATTAAAAAAAATGACAAAAACCATATGCACAATGGAGCAGTTTACAAGCATAACTGAACTAGTGAAAGGGAGCAATCAATATATAACTCTTTTAAAGGTATAAACATAGGTATATGGTAAATGCAGTTATTCTTAAGTTTAAAGTGTGAAAAAAACATGTAACTCTAGTTTGCTCTTTTGAATCACTAGCTGCATATTTTCATATTGTCTACACATGAGTTTTAAGGTGACACAATATTGAGAAAGATTTTTTTTACAATCCTATAATACATCATCTGTATATTATATTGTGTGTTCACCACCCCAAGTTGTCTCCTTCAAGAAGACAAAATTTGGTAACTTATCATTTTATTTAGACAATATGAACTACTCAGGCTGTCTTTCTTAAATAGTTAATACTGCCTGAGTTCTAAATATTGCTTCAGTGCATAGGAAAAGAAACAGAGAAAATAACATGCATATTTGTATGAAGAAGCTTTGTTCATAAATACAGTACTAGCAGGAAATATGTTCTGTTATGTTATGCATAAACTCAATGAGCTAATTTTTCAGTTTTCCTCTCTATTTTCTACATCCACATAACTTGTTTGTGTTTGTTTTTAGAATGATATTAAAGAATGAGATGATGTAAAGTCATTATTGTACAGAATTGTTTATTTTTATTTTCAGTATTAGTTTCATTAAAATGTACACTACATGTACTGTGAGTGTTCATATTTTACGTCTTAGTGTGTAAAATACTATTACTTTATACATTTCTATAATTATCATTGAAATAAGCAACAGCTGTAAATAATCACTCCATGGGAATTTATTTATGAATTTATGGTACTGAAAATTTATGAATAAAACGAAGAGATGTCTATATGAAAACGAGTTTCAACACAAATAAATATTATATAAAGTTACAGACATGCATTAAATTGGAGCACTTCATATTATTGAAACTACCTACTGAAAGTAGGTGCCATGAAATCTGTGTTTTTAAAATGCTTCGTTCATGATTTTATTTTATATTGTCCAGTTTTTAAATTCCAAGGATTCTACAATTACCTTTATTTAACAAATCCAAAATGTCACTTAGCGGGTTTATTTAAAGTAAAACACACTTTTATCTTGTTATCCCTATTTAGTGAAATGGTCTTTGTGACACTTGATCAGCGTGGCCATGGGAAGACTGAGCTGCTGCTGCCGCCTCTGAAATTCAATAAATAAAAAGCCGGCCCTAGTCTGTGAGTCTAAAGATCTGGCACCTTTGAAATCATTAAGTTCCATTAGACACTCCATTTGTTTGTTGCTTGCCTTTAATCATAAAATCAGAAAATGTCCTTTTTCAAAGAAATATACAGGGTAGGGAAAAAGTACATTTACAGTTATTTGTATGGAAAATAATATGATTGATAAATCATAACACAAGAGTAAACTTGGGTTCCCTGTACTCACAACTGTAAACCTACTTTTGCCCCATCCTTTATGTAGGCCTGAGAACCTGAGCAATCTCAGGGAGGATTCTTATTCACAGTTATAAACTTGTAAATAACACTAGGTTGGCAGTGAGGGTTATTGTGGTGGTTACCTGCTCCAACAACTTTGTCAATGGATATGTTGGTGGCATCCAATTCCTTAGCAAACTCATGAACTGCTTGGGTAGGGTCTTCGTATGTGTGTGGGTCAACGTAAGTCCTGAGACCTGGAAGTTTTACTGTTTAAGGGAAGGGTGAAAAAACATTATTGTAGCTGGATTTATAAAACCTTTGTTGAACAAATTTTAGAACATTATTGGTTAAAAATAATCCTCATTACTTTAAAGTACATCAATCTTTCATTTATTCTGAGATAGCACAGAAATCGGCAGAGGTTGAACTAAGTGTTGACCAACTTAATAAAAGAAGTTTCCCATAATGAAAAACATAAAGAAGAACCACAACGATCTTTCTCTGCAAAAACATTAGAAGGAAAATGTACATTCAAGGAGGGGGATCTTAAGGAGAAGAAGATGGGTCAGAATTGTGTAGGTCCAGTAACGCTTACCCATAGCGCTAGTGAGTGAACTCCATCACCCTATTGAATCTTTATGATTCTACAAAGAGTAACCAAGTATCAATTATAATGCCACATCTGACAATAAATATGTTTGTGAAATACTTTCATAAGGTATGATAATTGCTGCAATTACAGATAAATTAACTGAAGGATATAAAATAGCATGTCTTCTGTCTGACACTATTCTTCTTTTTTCAAAACACATTCACAATCAAAAACCCATGAATTATAGGTCTACCTTAAGCTGTGAAGCTATGTGTATATAATATGGGTATTACATATATACAGTAATATATCATCAATTAACTGAAATCTTGCTGTGTAGCCTTTCAACATAGTTAAAGGTAAGTATTCTTTATAGGTTTAATGATGGTGCTGGGGAGCTAAATTCCAAACATAAATTATATTATAGCTTATTGAATACAAATCTTTATAATATATTTAATTGATTATTCTAAACATGGACGTTTTTCATGATATCCTGTAATCAAAATAGCAAAGAAAAAAAAATAAGAATCATCTTGGGTTTTGTTTAATACTAATGAGGTTGTTATCATTTGGAAAAATGGCTCATCTTAGAAACAATTTAGAAGGTACAATAAACTTTCTTTGAAAGAACTAAATTTTTAAAAAGTGAACTTAAGGTCCATTGCAGTACATAAACATGCTTTAACATTAAAAGGAATTATAATTTAACTCCCATAGCATATGTACTGATATTATTGGTTTTCCTTTTAGTTTTGATAACATTGGTTAAAAAATATTTGTGACATTGTTTTAACAAGGGACATAGTTGCTTAAAGATGATATATTTTTTTATTAATCACACTAGAATATTGAATAATTATTTTATCCTAAGTAACAAATAAAGTAAAACTTTATCTTTTCTCATATCACTTTGTAATGAAAGAAGCTTTTTGGCCAAATTGCAGCCTAATGTTCCGTGACAACTGAAGGCTTCTTTGTGTCAGTGTGGTGGCTTGTATGAAAGAGGTGTATACATTGAGATGGCAGCAGTTGTTCTGAGGGACTTCAGCACAATGGACACTAGGCCAGTGAGTCCCGGACTTCAGACTTTGGCTACAAATGATCAGCATGTGGTTCTACAGTATAACTTTGTGAATGCCAAGGTTACGCTGCATAATTTATGCTACTGAAAAACTGTTTCCCTCACTACTTCGTTAAATGACAGTGAGACAGCAAAATGACACGGGAGGGTGGGAGAGTGAATGGAGGATGCGGGAGAAGAAAGGCTACCAATGCTGCTTTTTTCCTCGTGGTGTTGGCACTGGCGTTGTAGAAGAGTAGCTACTCTCTGTCTTGAGGAAGGGGGTGCATGATTTGTGAGACCACTGACAGCTTAGGGAGTCAATACCCATGGAAACGGGGAAATGGCAAGTCCTTTGCCCTTATTTTGGGCAAACTATGTGTGCAACAGCTTCTGGAGTTTTTCTATTTGGAATAGCTCAGCAAAAAGAATCAGGTAGACATAATACAAAAGAAAGTTTTTGAGACTTTGCTATTCAAGTGCCTAACGTCAGTGTCTGTTATGTAACTAGTGTCCCCAAATGTCATCATTAGTATTTTTATGTAAGAAGGCACAATTATCAATATCATTGAGGTTTCCTGGACACAGAATCTGGGGTCAGAAATGCCAATTATTTTGAGCTCACAGATCAGTTTACATGTTTTTGCCATTATTATAAACATTATTGCTTTCTATAAAAACAGGGCAGACTCACTCTTTAGTACAGTGATCTACTATATTATTACACTAAACTTCTTATTACTAAACTAAAACTTCTTCTAGTGTTATCAGTACTAAAACACTCTTAAAAGAAGCAAACAGATTAAGGAAATCTAACATACTTTCAAACTATCATACGAAGAAAAGTTTTGGAGTGAGAAAAACAGTAAAAGTAACCACAGACATTAAGAAATAGAGCCTGCTCGCAATTTTTTTCATTAAGATGATTTGGTCACATTTTAATGAGCCAAATCAAATGGAGGCTATGGTGTTTGCTGAACTAGTTTTGCTTTTCTTTTCTAGTAATAGTAAGGTAAAGAAATGGTAAGGTAAGAATGAAGAAAATTTAGTATTCCTTTTCAAGGAAAAATACTTTAAGAATAAGGCTAAAATAATTCTTTTTTTCTGGTAAACAATTACAAATGTCTTCCCTGACTGAATTTAAGTAAATCAGCTTGCAAGATATTTACTGACATCAGAATTTACAAAGAAGATTATAAAATGAGTTATCTGAAACAATGTATCAAATATTTGAAATAAGTACTGGCTTTAAAAAAACACCTTGAAATCGTGCTTCAGAGTTACCCTTCAAAACCTGCCAGCCCTACGGAGAGATGCATTACTAAATAATCTGAAAATTAAATAATCATTCCCAAATAAAATCAATCATGTTTATCATGATTAATTAAACTCAAGTAAATAGCTTTTGTATCCAAATGACATTTGGGGAACCAATACAAATGTAAATACACACATACACACATCCCCAAGTAAAATGGCTTGTTCACTGTGGGAGCTTTGGCTGCTGATTTTTAACTGCTGACCCCAGAGATTCCAGAAATCAGGTGAGTCAGGATGCAAGGCACATAATCCCCTCACACCAATAATTAAGGGCAACACACAGAGTGACTGCGCTGTGTCAAGAAAACCAGATAATAAACACATGCACACGTGTTAAGCTGCACTACTTTACAGCTCGTTCTGTGCAAACACAATAATTTACATTTCCATTTTACCAGCATGAGTTGCCCTAAGGATCACAAAAAGTAAAAAGGCCCAGCTAGAGAGGGCAATGGGACAGGATCTTAGAAGGTGAAACACATTTCTTTTCTTTTGAAGCTATATTATGGGATTTGTAACAAGGCTAGAGGGAATAGTTCATAGCTAGAGCTTTTTAAAGTAATACCAAATAAATGGTCTGAAATAAACCAGCTGTAGCATTAAGACGCAGAAAGTTTATGACATGCATATAAGTTACTTTATGCCTTTGGAGCTAGAATAAAATGCATTTCTTTTTTGTTTGTCTATTATCGGGATATTGTGCATTTGAAGAAAATTGAAGTTTCAACCAACTTTACCATAAAAGCCAACAGATAAAACAGGTCAGAGTGATAAAAAAAATATACTTACAATTGACACACAGGAATTTATCAATGCTCCAAATTCATGAGATTTATAATTCTAACATAAAAAAATAAGTATGGTTTTGCTCTAAAAACAATATTTACATTGATTCTCCAACTCAAATTGAAAGCAACTTAATCCAAAGGAATGCATGGCAATTTTCAGTGTTTTGTGGGACCGTTAAAAAAAAAAAAAGCCAGACAAGTATCCTGTAATTTGTTCACATACACTTTTAGGGCTTTTGAATTTGTAACTTATCTGAAATGATAAAATGTTGTTATTAAGAAGGTACATAGTATTTTGGCTTTTTTGTGAGTTATTCTATAATGACAGCAAAGAGGTGGACAAGACAATGTTCTCTGTAAACTCTGGCACTGTGTAGATATCACATTAATTCACATTTTTGAAACACAATCTTTTTTTTTAAGCTACTGTATGCTTCCTGCATGTTAGCAACAGGTAATCAAGTTTTTACTTGAGTTACAGTTAAAGCTATAATTTTTAGATGCAAAACCAAGACTGCAAACAAGTAACATGTTGAGTTGAAAATAATTTTAGAAGGCAATAGAGAATGCCAGAGAAAGTAATGTTTACAAGACTACACTAGTTATATTGAGGTTATTTGAGACACATAAGCATGAGTACCGTCTCCATACTAATTTCCATGAGAACATGCTATTACCTTTAATGCCACTGGTTAGTAATTGCCACATTCAACTGAGCCATAGTCTGGAAAAGCAAAGCAACTGGGATGATTCGTTTCACCAGAAGAAAATAAAATGAGTGTTTTTATTAGACATAAACACTTTGTTTCCTAAAAGAGTGTTTCTTTTAGAAAATATTTTTTAAAAGAGATTAAATTGGTTGGTATTAAAATATGGGAGGAAAGTGCTTGCTTTCCTACAGATTAGATATCATGTAACTCCAAAATAAACAGTTTATTCTAAAGGCACTCTCCTGGTTGGTTGACGAGATGGAGTAAGGCATTTTACATAAACAGAGGCTGTTTATATTTACCTGGCAGCTAGGAAAGGGAAAAGGCTCTTATTTAGATTTTAGCAAAAGACTAGTAATAAGGAAATTGAAAATATGCTTTGCCTTTCAGCTACATAGAGCAGACTATAGTACCAACTCCCCATTATGTGCATTATTTGAATATAAACCATGGGTTACCCTTAACTTTAGCTTACGTCTGCTTAAATGTGGCCATGCAAAATTACTTAATGCAGAGTCATGAATTTCCTTCTCTGTTTAAAATAATTTGTCATTTTTTCCTTAAAACTGTTTTTGAATTCTCTCTGTCTGGGAAAAATACCCCATTATAAATGAACAACTGCTGAAACGAAAATGGTAAAACCAAAACATCAAAACAGTTTAGAAACTTACAATGTCCATTCCCAAAATGAAGTCTTTTTTCATCTGTCCCATGTTTTGACTTGTTATAGCCACAGAACCTAGAGATAAATTAAGGAGATAAAACACAGAAAGAAAATATACTTAAAACAATTATCTATGTTCAGAATGTGCAAAGCAAAAAAATAAAATAAAATAAAATAATAAAATAAAATAAAGCATTTTCCTCAAACAATTAAATGCTTTAGTGAAAATTTAATGGCTTCATATTTTCTAACTCCTCTATAGAAAGCCTCTTTCTCTGGGGACCCTGGAAAGCTGCCTAATGAGGAGACATGTAGAGTTGCTTCCCCACTGTGCAGACCCCTTCAGTTGAGTTTTTATAATGGCCTTAGAAAGTGTTTATAGTATTTTTTTAACAACTGCTGTTAGAATGAATGAAGGGTAAAGTCTCCATTGTTAGTGATTAGCGTTGTGCAGTGTTACCAGTGTTCTGGGTGAGAAAGCATCAGGGAAATCTGGGGTGTATTTGAAGAGTAAAGGGATAATTGGGGAAAAAAGGTAAAAACTAGGAATAAGATCAAAAGAGAGACGAGATGGGTATTGGAGAATGGGGCTGGAATTTAATAGAAAAATAAAATCAAAACTAAAGATGAAGGAACGAAAGGTAGAAGGACAAAGAAGGACCTACGATACAAATGGAGACATTCTGATTTGTTAAAATACATTAGTGACCATGCTCTTCAGATTTTTAACAGCAATTGGGGAGGGGGAAGCAAAGCAGTAATGAAAGTAAGTCATAAAACAGATTGTGAACTCACCTTCCAATCAAAACGTAGGTGACGACTGTGAGGAGAATAATTGCTACTGCTGCTGAAATGGCGATCATTACCACTTGGCTATTTTCACTGGAGATGGAGAAAGCTGTGAGGTTGAAGAGAAAAAAGTTTAAAAGACGAGGCATTAACACATCATAACTAACATCTACATGGAAAATCTGATAAATTCAGTGACATTTATTCTGCTTTTACCTGAAATATGGCTACCATCTAGTATAAAAGTAATCCTTCAACGGGCAAAAAAAAAGACATTTCCTATAATTTTGTGTGAAATTACTAATTAATAAGATTAAATAATCTGTTTCAATGACATCAATCAAATACTACTTGAGTGCCTGCTGTATGAAATGTGTTGGGCTGGTTTTGTCCCTCCTCAAAGGCAAAAAAAACAAACAAACCAAAAAACAAACCAGTGGAGGAAGAAGTTAGCAGGGGAACATAAAGAACAGGTAAGCTTTTCCAGAATTAAATTATAGGGCCTCCACATATACCACCAGTGACTTGTTCCTCTCCTTGTATTCCCTACCTTTGTAAATGGCCCATTGCTCATACACTCACAAAGTACTGGTGAAAATTACTCAGGAACAAAATATGGCCTGCCATCAGTTTTGGTATAGCTCAAGGGTTTAGAATGGTTTTACATTTCTTAAAGGTTGTGAAAAGTCAAAACAAGAAGATTTTGTGACACAAAATTATATAAAATTTAAATGTTGATGTCCATAAATAAAAATGCTTTGGAACCCATTCATTCATGTATTGTGTATGGCTGCTTCTAAGCTGTAATAAATAGCCAAATAGACTAGGAGCAACAGGGACTATATACACAAAGCCTAAAACATGTACTATCTAGCCCTTTCCAGGAAATTTAATGAAACTTGACCTAGACGAATGCTTCTCTAGCTTTAATGTTCATAAAAACCATTTGGGTATCTTTGGGAAAAAGCAGTTTCTAATTCAGTGGGTCTGGAGTGGGTACTGAGACTGCATTTCTTAAGAGCTCCACGATGCTGATGCAGGTGATTGCAGACCACAACGTTTTGGTAGCGAAAATGTAGATCATAAATATAACATTACCTAGTCCGCTCCCTCTCCTGATCATTCTATATCTGATTAGTCACTAAATCTGTTTAAAGTATCTTGGTTTATATCTTTCTCTTCTGGATTACAATTAGAAATTCCTTATTGGTCTCTATTTGCATGCCTTTTCTTCTACCTGGCAACCAGAGTACTGCTAAATCATGAATTTGATCATGTCATTCTCATGCATAAATTTTTTTCAGGGCTCTCCACTTTCAGGATAAAATGCAAATTATGTAGCAGAAAATTAAAAGCTCCTCAAAATCTGTCCCCCTTCAAAATCCCCAGCTTCATGGGGTAATAAACTCCGTGAATATCCTAATCTCTAGACGTTCTGAACACACAGTTCCTAGATCAACTGTTCATTTGCTCAGACTTTCAACTTCATTTCTTTTGTGGTAAATACTGATTCTGATTGAAGAAATGAAGGGATGGTGTATGAAAGAAGAGCTTAGAAGATTCAGTTTGGTTATTTGAATACCATCGCCTCTCCAGTAGCAGGCCAATATCACATTCTCAACCTAATCAAAACTTATGTTTGGGCTGTTACCTCTACAATAATGCAGTTTTAGGACTAGTTATATGGTGCAAATAAAGAAAAATGGCAAAAAGCCTGTTATAAGTTTTCCAAGCATTTGAAAAGAGTGCTCCGAGTCTGCAGGATGGCATGCACACTCATTATATAAACTGTTGCCGCACTTTATTCTTTCCTACCAGCGAACTATTGTTTATACCGCTGTGGCAGTTACGCGAGTGCCTGCTTGGATCGTCCTGCTGCCCAGTCTCAGCAGGCAGACGGCCTCCAGCTGCTGCACTTTGAGGATGTACCTCTGCCTCACACTCGGGCCGTGCTCTTCTCAGTGACTAGATAAGGTAATGGGACTGGAGCCAGCCCCTGTCTGCCCACTGCAGGACTTTTCTAGGTGTAATCTTTACTCTGAGCTCCCCATCGGATTGGCGAGACTCTCAGAACTGCATTGCTATCTGAGGCTCGTCCTCCTCCACCCTTTCCTCTCCCTCCTCTCTGCAGAGGGGGCTGATTTCCATCTCCGTCTGAGGCTTTGGTTGCAGGCTTCTGCTCAGCCTCTTTTACCCATTATCTGTATTTGCCCATAGAAAGCTATCATAATTCTATCTTAATATCTGCTTTCTAAAGACTTGAACTATACATCCATTAACCATAGATCTGTGAGTAGTTTGTAAAATAACCTAGGGATTCAATAATGCTCCATAAACATATAATAACATATAATGTCCCATAAAAATATAAAATATATAATGTTTCATAGACATATAATAACAATCTATCTCATGCTTTTCATTTTGTGTACTGTTAATAACTTATAAAGAACAGCAAGTTCTGAATTCTTTAGTAAATAATAGCCTGTTTTTAAAGTAAAGGTTAGTAAAACTGGGAGGGGAAAAATGATAGATGAAAGAAGCTTCCATTTCGTTTTTGTCAAAAACAGGATTAAACTGGAACTTCTTTACAATTTCCACTAGCTCTAAATATTTATGAATTCCTGAGGTTATGTAAAGCACATACAAAAATCAAAACATTGTTTGTTACTGAAATGAACAAACATTTGAGTAAATACTATTCATTGAATGTGTTATAGAATTGTTTAATAATTTTTATGTGGCATACTGTTAAAAATTGATATCTATTACATCTTAGAAATTCAATTTATATATGTTTTCCAACAATTAAACTACTCTTCCTGTTTCAAGTAGCATAGAGCCAGTTTTCTCTCCCTAATATCGACTGGTTATGAGCTCGCTGAACCACAGTGCCTGGATTTGTACTTATTCGCTGTGTGACATAATGTGATGTTGTGGAGAGTAAATGAGTTAATAAAGTAAGACATTTAGAACAGTGTGAAACATAGTAAGTGTTTAATAAATGTTACATGTTTTTAGTATTTCATTTTCTCAGAGGAAAACTGGCAAAAGTATTCTATGTTCTACAAAATTACATATGAATGACAATTTTGGGATGCAAAATTCTCTACATAAACCTTTCCATTCTACCTTTGTCAAGTCGCCTTAATATCTTCTAATAATAGGGTCCAAGAGATTAAATTTGCTGCATACCTGCTTACTAACAGCAATGAAAAAAAATGGTGGGAAGCATTCAGGAGTGCTAACTAAATTGACCCAAGGGCCCATCTTCTTTTAATAATATCCATAGAATACTTCAATTCTAATACTCAGCTTTGCTCCATATATTTTTGCTCTTGAAATTCTTTGGATGTTCAAATTATGCTCTATTATTTAAAAACACACCCCCCCATCTACTATACCAAATAATAATTATTTCAATCAATATAAAAACCCCACTAAAGATATAATTTCTGACTACTGAGAGTTTCCAGGCAGATGGACTGTCTGCGTTCCCAAACATGTTGGTGGATGTTGCCTTTACTCCAGGCAAGTCCCTTGACTCATATATTCTGTTTTCTGTGCCTTAGTTTAACATCTTTTCTCTTAGTATGTAAAATAGCAGCAAGGAATCAGTAGTAATCCATACTATGAAGATTGTAAGTTCATTGACTCCACTTATTAGCCATGTAACTTCTTAAATAAAAACATATAAAACATAAAAAAAATATATGATGTCATAGACCATATGTCAAAAAGAATAGTATCTGAATAGCTTGCAGAACAGGATCAAGTAAAATGTTTATTAAAATGTTATATTATGCTGCCATATAAATATATGGGTTCTAGAATCAGACCCATCACCTACTAGTTGTATGACTTTGGAAAGTTTACTTAAACTCTCTATGCTTCAGTTTTCTCACCTGTTAAATGGAAGTTCATGTAAAACTAAACACTGACATATAAAAAGTAAGACTTTTTAAAGCACTTAGGAAGAGATTTTATATAAATATATATACATATATATATATATATTTCACTGTGCCTCCATTCCTTTACTATAGACCAAGTTCAGAAAATATTATCTGAATTTCTGTTAAAAATATACTGTACTCGACTAAGAAATATTTTCCTGTTATGAATGAAAACTTTTCATATAATTTGAAAAATAAAAACCACAGCAAACAACAAACTGTTAAGAAATCTACACACAAGTTTTTTCTAGATCTATTAAATGTCAATATATAACAAATAAAAGCCTTAAACCTTCAGAGTGTTTTATGTGTACGTATTTTCAATTTGTGGTTGGAAATCTGCTGATGCAGAGGGCCAACTTAAATTATCTGTGGATTTTTGACTGCACAGGTGGTCTGCACTCCTAATTCCCAAGCTGTTCATGGGTCAACTGTATATCATTTTTATTTTTAAAAATGGGGTGAGAATTGATTTTATTATTTTCCCCTTAAGACAAGGGGCACTTTTTTTCTCATCTATATTTAAAATCTGGAAGAATTCTATGGTGAAGTAATAAGAGTAAATTTATGTATATATATTTTTAAATCAAACTGTGCAACTCAACTATTTTTTATAACTGGAAAGGAAGATATTAAAAAATATTGCATTTTTCTTTCTAATCTCTTTTTATCTGCTCTCTCTCAATCAATGCAATACAAATATAAAACTTATTTAGCAAAAATTCTAAGAACCTGCAATTTTTAAATGGACTATTTTAGACGAATCAGATATTGAAGCCTCCTTAGAAGCTCATGTACAACACCACCACAGCAATGTCTGTGGTAAACTCTAATTACATGAGAATGTATGGGAGGAGGGCAGGGCATAACGGGAAACACGGGGAAGGCTCATCAAGGAACATGTATAAAGGACTCACAGACAAAGCCGAAAGGGGATAAGATTGAGGGTGGTGGATGGGATTGAGTAGGGGCAAGTGGTGGTGGGAAAATGGAAACAGTGTACTTGAACAACAATAGAAATAAAAATAATAAATTCAGATTAACAATAAACATTTTTAAATATTAAAGAAATTTAAAAAATTTGGAATGTTTTATTGCTGTTAGAAATGTACTTATCAGATAGGGTTGGTGCTAATTGAGAACATACAAGATTAGATTGATATTCCAAAATAATACATCAACATGATAAATTTTTATCTAATAGTGATCTGACATTTCTGCCTTCGATATGCCTAGTTTATACCACAGAGAATAGTAAACATTTGCTCTTTGTATTTCTATGATTTGGGATCAATCTGGGTGAATCTAATAACCAAATAAAAGTTTGATAAAAGACAATCTACTGTCATTTCAAAGCAAGAAACTATATTTGTACCACTTAAAAGTTATGAAAAGATTTAATTATTCATGCTAAATTGCAATTATGGTTTGGTACTATGTTATCTAAAATTGTTTGTTTTAAACATTGTTCACATGACTTCCACGGTATTTTATGGCATTTTGTTTCAAGTGTCCGTGGAGAGAGGTTTCTACATGCCCATTCCACCACAGGGAGATTAGCTGAGGGCGTGAAGCATAGATTTGTGTGCCTCACAATGGCAGTTCTCCTCCAAATGGAATTGGTAGGTTTCAGCTGTGAGCCAATGACTTCTAAGAACACTAGAATTTCAATACTTTGCAGAATGTACAGCTTGTTATTGTAAGCAGCATTTCTAATTGTCTGACAAAAGTGTGCCACAAAATATTTACCCTATCATGTTACTTAAAGAGTTTTTATAATTTTTGTTAATCCTGAGTGTTTCTATAAAATTTGGGCATAAAATATTATCACGCTGGTAACACTGTGATTTTATATCATAAACAAAATAATTAAATAGAGAATGTAGGTCTCAGGGAAAAATGACAAATTAGAAAAATCAAAAGAAATTACTGGGCTTCCTTTCAGTGGAGGGCTGGGAATTGTCATATTCTCCCTGGATAAGCTGTTTCTAAAAGGGGTTCGTTTTTTATTTTTTCTAGGCTATTTTACAACTGTGTGTTTAATGTGATTTAGAGGATTTATTGTGATGTAAATGATTTTTCCATTACAACTATTACAATGACACTTAATTCAATAGAGATATAATTGATGGGTGCTGTAGATGAGATAATCCCAGTCATTCATTTATTTTCATATAGTATATTAAGCAGTTTTGGGTCTATTATCAAATTTAAGCATTCCTGATCCTTACACACACACACACACACACACACACAAATATGTTTGTATATATGTTTTTCCTTTGAACCAATTTTAAACTTTTATTAGTTTTGGTAATTAAGTTAATAAGCTTTTAACTTGTGACCATTTTATATTAGTACTATAGTCATGATTTTACCTTTTAGAAAAAAAATTATATTTTAGCAGAGAGCTCTTCTAATATGAAGCAAATGCATTCAAATAAAAGAAAAATGTTGGGGTAATGTTTGCCAATTTTAGACCAATTTTAGCCAAATTTGGGGTTAAGCAGATGGAACTATCCAAATTGTGGATGTGAATGTGGTGATATATCAGATTTTAGACAATAGTTAATCTCCAAGTGATACAAGGTTGACTGTACTAAAAATTAAAACAAAATAAGATCTTCATGGGTCAGAAAGGTTTTTGTTTTGTTGTTTCTTTTTTTTTGTTTTTTTTTTTGGTAATCAATTGAATTATTCAATGAACCTGGAATATCTGGATTGTCAAGTACTGAAAGTGTGTTACCGTACTACTTAATGTTACTGAAAGCAATGTATGACTAATAAAAAACCAGAAGCATTTCAGGCATTATAATATGTTTGGTTTGTAAAAGAGAAAAAAAAAATCACAAATGTACATTTATACAATCACAAATGTCCAGATCCAATGCTATGGAAATCGTTAAATGTTCCAAGCAATGATATTTTCAATGTATCACACTGTTTTAAAATTTAGGAGGGTAAGAATGAATTATCAGGCACCTTATGAATTAGCAACATTCCCCCCCCCCCATTACACTACATTGAAATGATACATACAGTCGGGACTTGTTTCAAACTCAAATTTGCGACTGTTGGTCCCATATCCAGCTGCTGTTCGGGCTCGGATTTGGAAAACATACGTAGTGTCAGGCTTGAGGCTACTGATGGTAACATTCGTGCCTCTTGCCCTCAGAATGGTGTAACTTGTCTCTTGCTCCTGCTTTGAGGTAAGAAAAATCACGTTAAAATCAAATCTTCATAATATATCAAGTAGTAAAAAGGTGAACCACTCAAAACGAATTATTTTAAAATTTAATACAGATCAAAGAACAGATGAAATAGACATGATAATCATTTCACTATCTGAAGGCATTTTTTAAGATAAAAATATTTACAGTTTCTAAATTTGGATACAATAATTTGTGCCCTGCACATAAAGCAGGAAAGTTAGTTTTCATTCTTACCAATTACCGACTCTTTGAGCAAAAATCTGTTCTATTCTCAAACAAGGCTGAAATTTTCAACCTAATTAAAATAATAAGTTTACAAAGAGGAAAATACCCTTTTAGATTAAACCTAATAGGAATGCCCTGCTGATTCTCAGATAGGAAATATTCTATCAGTTTTAAAATATTAAACTCCAAAAGATCAAAATTCTATATGTTGCTCTATACTAACAACTTTCTCAGCATCAACTGAGTTGTATTGTATTTTCATTGCATTGAAGTCACAATGGTTTAACAGAAACAAAAATCTCCAGATCAAAGTCTAGAAATATTTCTCAAAAAGGACCTCCTATAAGAGATTGACATTGTACATTAAGAAATTCACACTACATGTTAAAAGTAAAGTCTTCTTGGGTCAAACTTCATTTACAAAAATTGGATTAAGTAGAATCACATTGTTTCTCTAACATATATTAGTCTGTTGTGAGCACTTCATGGATATCTTGTCTTAGAACAACAGAGAAATGTTTCTGAATCTGGAGTGGCGCCTGGAGTGGGTAATATGGAACAATGCATGCCATCAGCCAACACTAGGTAGAACTTTGCAGAAATAAGGTCGTATGTTACACTAACTTTTCAGTTAAAGATGCTGGTTATATTTTAGGTAGACTTGGAGTTGATATATTAAAAATGATCAGAGTCAAATATATTTATTTTATAGAAAAATTATTTCATTTGTTAAAAAAATATTTAGCTAACCCTTTTAGAGCTTGAAATCTAGTGAAACGTAGTATTTCTAAGCATCGTATATATTGGGAAATAATTTCAAAATGTATGTATGATATAAATATATATTAAATAATATCACACATATGTATCAAATTTCAAAATGCCTAGGGAAAAGTAAATAGATTCAGTCATTTTCTTTCTTGTACTGGTTAATATTGCTTAAATATAACCTTGCATATTATGCTGTTTTGGTGGAATTTAAAATACCTATGCACCCCAATGTTCATAGCAGCACAATTTACAATAGCCAAGTGTTGGAAGCAACCTAAATGCCCATCAGTAGATGATTGGATCAAAAAATTATGGTACATATACACAATGGAATACTACGCAGCAGAAAGAGAAAAAGAACTACTAAACTTCGCGACAGCATGGATGGAACTGGAGAGCATTATGCTAAGCAAAATAAGCCAGGGGGTGAAAGACAAATACCATATGATCTCACCTATAAGCGGAACCTAACCAACAATACAAAGATGCAAGGAAAATAAGACCAGCAACACTGAAAGGAAAAGAAATCAACAGAGACAAGAGGGAAGGAAGGAGGCGGGAGGGGGGGCAGGGAAAGTGGTGGGGGGTAGGCAGAGACAAATGTATTTAAAAAATTAATTAATTAATTAATTAAAAAGAAAGAAAGAAAACAAAATAAAATAAGTTCAGAATATGTTTTATATTTGTAAAAGATATGAATGTAGATTTGTTTTATTTTTTAAACAGCCCCATAGATCTAAAGGTTAGGTGTTTTGTGGTTCTGCTATGCTGTCTGAACTGAAGCACATCATTAATATTCTTTGATTTTGTTGCATCATCTATAACATGGATTCTTGTGTCTTCATAAACTATCTTCTCACATGTTTAAAAATAGAAGATCATGATCCAATGAGTATTTGACAATACGATAGAGGATCAATGAAAGTTACGAGATAACTTATTCAAACTATGATTTGGCACAATGAAGTTCATTAGGCCTTACTCCCTTTTAATGAAAGAGACATACTTTTTTTCTGTTGGGTGGAGGAGTAAGGAAAAATGGCATCGTACTTGTGAAATACATTAACTTCAGTAAAGAAAACACCTACATTTGCAAAGAAATGTTCATATATTATGCCTTTTGTGCAATTAATCATACCAATAATTCTCATGTTTCTAATGATTCATTGTCATGTAGAGGGAGGGAGGTAGCATAGGGGGAAGCATACAAAATGAAAAGTCACTGGCTGCTAGGATTTGAAACAGAGACCTACTGTTTATTAGCAGCGAGGGTGTGAGAAATGCAAATAACTTCACTGACTCCTGGTTCTCTTATTTGAAAAACAAAAAAATCCTTATTTGTCCACTTTCACAGGATTAGCAGGTAGCTCTAAATTGCATAATGTATACAGAAGTGTTCTTTAAATATAAACTACTATATAATGCACAACTTATTTTTAATTTGTTTTAAAAACTTTGCAAACTGCAACAGATACACAAATATGTTTTGTTAATATTAGTAGCTATAAAACCACTGAGCTCTAATGATAAGGTCTGAAACCATCTTGCTTTCAAACCTCACTGTAATTTATAACCAGGGAGAAATAAGTGCTATTTGGTGATGAAATATTGATGAAAAAATGAAGCCTAAGTTCTACTTATAAATAACCATCTATTTTTATAATCTCATTACAGAGCCACAATTTTATGATGTGAGGCAGACTTATACACTCACTCTCGTCTTCTAAATTTCTTCATGCCAGATCAAGAAAGCTTTTCTCCATCAATTCAATAATAATACAGGATTGTTTTTTTTTATTAGTTCAATGTTCCCATCTGTATTAAGTAAAAGTCATGTGACTGTGCAGGACAAGTAATGGTGCTTTAAGGCAATGAACTAAGGAAAAGTTCATCAGTGGGTTACTAACTAAGGAATCGCTATGAAATAGTTGGTAGAACATAAGTTTTGATGTGAAAGGACATGAATGTCATTTCTATTACCATCACTAGATGGCTTAAGTTTGGTAGTGACATCTCTGCTGTGGCTCACTGTTGTAGAATGGGAAATATTCTACACAATAATTTTTAAACACTACTTATAAATCAAATGTATCACATGAGCACAGATTTAAACAAAGCATGATGACCTCTTAGCAACGTCATTCATTTCTTTGCAAGAAACACAGCTTATGAGAAGGTAACCTCTTTCCCTACACCACCCATCCCTATCATATTGTCTCCCCACCTTTTCATAGTATTTGACCTCGTAGTCCAATATGATCCCATTAGGGTGTTCGGGTTCTTGCCAGGATAGAGAGATGCTGTTTCTGGATGACCGATCCTTCTTAATGGTCATGACAGGTGATGGAGCTGTAAAGAGAGGATGGAGGAGATCATAGGAGGGGACAAATTAATCAGGTTGTGAAGGGTGGTAAAGAAGAGCAGAGAGCGAAGGGAACAGCAAATGGAGTCTATCATTGTTCTAATCTTTGGCAAGAAAGCACTATTTCCATTTCAAAGGCTCTTGAGTATTAATCTGGCCCCATATCAAGCCTCAGCAGCTGGATTATAGCCCTGGTACATACAGGCCTATGGAAAATGAGCTGAGATTTTCAGCTGCTGGTGGAATAGTGGCAAGTAAGCAGATGTTTCCAATCTGCTACTCTAATGTAAGCAATGAAATATATTTGATATATTAAAATACGAGCAAAACATCGGGACTACCTATTTGTTATAATGTTGCAAAGTTATTAATGCCAGATTCTGCAGCTCATTGATAACATTTTCATATGCAACTCTGTAACAGGACTGGAATCTATTATGTACAAGGAGTCCCATGGTATCTATAGGTAATAATAGTATTTAGTGTACTGTAAAATAGATAAGATTTAGGATATATCTTGACTTCTGACAAAAATCTGTCATGAATAAAGTACGTATCAGAAAACTATAACAATCTTTTGCATATATGTGTTTTATTCCTTTAAAAATATTTAAAGAAAACTACCAAGGAAATGATTGCTGTTTGTACCTTAACTCTCAAGCTACATTTTTAAGTATCTTATTGGCTGATGACTCAATTATATGTATCATTATGCATTATCAAAAGTACAGAATATGAATTAAAAAGCATATGTTTGGATCAGATATCATAGGGTCACCATCATTTTTAATGGAAGGTTAAGTATATATTAAGTGATATCCTACTTCAAATCCTTCCATTAAAAATATAAATGCATACTATCCATCAAGCCACTTCTGGTTTCAAATCTCAACCTCAGTCCACAGGCGAACCGAAATATCTCACTTGAGGTTCAGCAGCATTCTGCCTTAATGGAATGCAGCAAAATAAATTACAAACATGAAAAAAAATCAAGAATTCCTAGGTGCTCTAACTGTTCAATTGTTTTCATTGCTAAAGGGCCTATTTTCTTATAAACTTTTCTCAAATCAAGAACTATTAAATTTAGAACCGATGTGTTTGTATTTCTCACAACAGCTAGAAGATTTGCTGATTTGATATTTCTGCGATTATCACATGCTAACTTATGTATATCCCACCTCTCATATAATCGTTCTGGTTTATAAATGCTTTTAATTTTTATTCTTCACTTAAAATAATTAATTAAGCTTGCCTTTGACAATTTATTGGAAAATATAAACCTAAATGAAGAATCTGTTGCAATAAATTTCCCATTTTTCTATTTCTATTATTTGTAAAATCTTTTTATGAACTCTTTTGTAATTAAGTTATTCTTACTTTGATTGGTTGGCTTGGGGATGATTACCTAACCTTTGCCAAGGAAAAATGTAGGTCTTGTGCTTTTCTGATGGAAAAAAATATTCATTTTTTTATTTACCATTTACTCTCATTAGCAATTAATACCCTGTTTTTTTATTCTCACCTAATGACATGCTTATTGATTTTTTAGAAAGTGAGGTAGAGTTGGAGAGATAGCAAAAATAAAATTGATGTGAGAGAGAAACATTAGTTGGTTGCCTCTCATAGGCACCCCAACCAGGGACCGAACCCACAACCTAGGCATTTGCCCCCCAGGAATTGAACCTGCAACTTTTTGGTTTACTGGACAACACTCCAACCAACTGAGCTGCACTGGCCAGGGCAGCGATTGATATCCTTTTATGACACATCATTTACTATTCATGTTTGCTTTTCTTTTATTCCATATTATTGCATTATATGCAAAATAGCCTCACAGCACCCCATCCCTCACCCCACGTTCGCTGTTCTGAAATTGATTCTAAGCAAAGTATAATTTATTTTGGTTATTTTTAGTTGAATTTATAAACATACTCAATAATTATAAACATATCACTGTCAAAATAACAGATTTGTTAAATTATTGAAAACTATTTTTAATTTACTCTAATACTGTAAAAAAATCAATTTATTATCCAATTGCTAAAATAAAAAATTTCTGCTCTGATTTCCTTGGAACCAAATTTTACTTTTCATATAAAAACTGGAGAAACTTCACTAATTTTCCTGCTAAAGTAAACCCATGATAGAGTAACTAAGGTAGGCTTATAGAGCATTTCCAAGAAGCTGAATGTTGAAAAACTTTCCTGGTAAACCCATGGAGACCCTACATGCATTCCATATCACCTTGAAACTGGTTTATTTTCCTTAGCAGTTCAAATAGATTTTCAAAGAGACTTTGAAAATTACCAGGTAGAGCATCTTTCCTTAAAGCAAAAGAGAAAGTAATTCATTTCAAAGAACAATTTGAGTGAGGACTGTATTAACTTTTTCATGAAAGCTTTGCAGGCTGTTTTGGGGATCTGCCCAAATTTTACTGCTTCTGCACTGAGCAAGACTTTGTAACTGTTGAAATTCTTCAAAGGTCTTTGAGCAAGCTGCGGAGCCCTGTTGGACTGTAATAAATAGCCTTTTGTAATTCCACACTTACTTAAGTAGAAGCAATTGCTTGAAGCTTGTGTCATCTCTAAGTTAAATGAACCTTTTCTGATTGCTGCTTTTAGGACCCTGTTAAGTCATTTGTTCTGCTCTTTAATATGCGTCCCTCACTTGGCTGCATTTCAGGAGTTTCACTCCACTGCACCAGCTGGAATCCCGTTACATTTGGGTAAAGCTCATCAATATATTAATATTAATAAATAATTAAAAGAAATTGTTTTTCTCTCCCCTAATAAATAATTTTAAGACATAGTAAGGCATTGCAGAAAGAGATAAGTTTTATGGGTACTCCCTTGTATCCATGCTCTCTAAAAACTTTTCTGAAACATTTTTTATTTTTTATTTTTATTTTTTTAAATTAATCTTTTTTTTAAATTTTATTTTAATTTATTTTTTCAAATACATTTGTCTCTGCTTACCCCCCACCACTTTCCCTTGCCCCCTCCCTTCTTCCCTCCCTCAGCTCTTCCCCTTTGGTTTTGTCCATGAGTCCTTGCTATATGTTCCTTGACTTTCCCCTTCCCTTCATTTTCCCCGCCCCACCTCCCTCCTTCCCTCTTGTCTCTGTTGATTTCTTTTCCTTTCAGTGTTGCTGGTCTTATTTTCCTTGCTTCTTTGCATTGTTGGTTAGGTTCCACTTCTAGGTGAGATCATATGGTATTTGTCTTTCGCCCCCTGGCTTATTTTGCTTAGCATAATGCTCTCCAGTTCCATCCATGCTGTCGCAAAGTTTAGTAGTTCTTTTTCTCTTTCTGCTACGTAGTATTCCATTGTGTATATGTACCATGACTTTTTGATCCAAACATCTACTGATGGGCATTTAGGTTGCTTCCAACACTTGGCTATTGTAAATTGTGCTGCTATGAACATTGGGGTGCATAGGTTCTTTTGTATTGGCGTTTTGGTGTTCTTAGGGTATAGTCCCAGCAGGGGAATCGCTGGATCAAAAGGCAGTTCCATTTTCAGCTTTTTGAGGAAATTCCACACTGCTTTCCACAGTGGCTGCACCAGTCTGCATTCCCACCAACAGCCAACCATATGAAACATTTTTAAAATTCATGTCTTAAAGTATAATTTATCCGTACTTCCTCATGTTGTGAAATGCAATTTATAATATTGTTAAGAAACAATAAAGTGGATTCTTTTCCTTCAGTTATTTTTCAGGTATCAAATAGTGATTTTTCAATGCCCTGACTTTCAAAACTCATAGAAATTTCTTAAATTGATTTCTTTCTCTATAAAAGAACAAAGTATTACAGTGTATATCATAAAATAGTTGGAATTTATTTTATCTTTATTCCTCTGTTGTTGTTTTTTTTTTTAAATTTGTGATTTAGAAGAATGGTGGAAAATAGTTTTATGGAATAAAAAAGAAATCTATCTCAAGAATAGAGAAATGCTTGGAACTATAGTGAAAATTTATATTGGAGGATATATTGGGGCACAGGTTTTCCCTGGCAACATGCTGGTGTATAAGCTAAAATTGTAATTACTGGTGAACACTCTGATACACCAAGATGAAGAATTTTAATCTGGGGCCTATTTTATATACCTTAAATGATACAAATGATTCTCTTATTAAGATGAAGAAGTTGACAACCCAATAGGCTGTTATAAAAATGGCCCAGGCATTTATGGAGTTTAGTAAATGGATAGTTTTGCAGGAACAAAATTAAGAAATTAGTAATGAGAAAAATTAAAACAATAGAAAGATAATTATTTTTAGTAATTCAATAACCCTCTTTAAAATAATGTGTTGGTGTGTAATACACATTTTTGTTGTATCGATTGGTATTTAATAGGGAACTGCGGGGTCATGCTGGACATGGCTCTTCCAAACCCTGGCACGGCAGGTTGTCCAGAGGGCCCCTGTCCCGCAGGAATGTGTGTTGCTTGGAAGTGGATTGTAATTCTCTCCGTGTCTTCTTTTGGGAGCAGCCTCTTTTCCTGTGTGACTGCTTCTTAACCTTTTTCTTCTGCATGTACACTCTGAGGTAATGTGGTTTAGAGTCACATGCAAGACAGTATCCCCTTAGTCTGGGACCCCTTGTAACAAGTCTGGGACTCAGGGAGGTACAGTCCCACTTCGCTGATCTGCCGCCACTGCTGCTCCCTGTAATGTGAGTAATAAAGGCTCTGTCTGCTCCACCCAGTCCTCCTTGTGGGTTTCTGGGCTTACGCCAACTAGCAGTCGAGATCCCCGCGCTCGACCTGCTGCATTACACGAACAAATACTTGATTCTTAGCTTTTGCTATTCTGGGCAAAATCAGATCTATGTCTTTGGAAAATATATAAAGGAAACATAATATACTTGGTGAAGTTAGATGTATGATTTTTATTACCAGAGGACATGTTTAATGATTTTAGAGAGAGGGGAAGGGAGGGAGAGAGGGAGAGAGAGAAATGTCATTTGATTTCCTTCAGTACATG